TAATCACACAAGCACTGCAACAATAGCCGTGAACTAAAATTGATACATACATGGGGGTTTACGGGGACACCCATGTTAGTATTGTTGATAATCATGTCTGACACACCCGTGGAAATTCCAACGTAAAATAGGTCCCAGGTGTACTCGTAACTGATTAAATGGTGATTGGTTGTTGATAATTTTGTGCAACGTTTCACCGACTACGGATATCGTAGCTCATGATATTAAGCCCTCGTTAGCATGGTTCAGATTCGATTTTCTACAGACTGTGTTATAGTTGCTTTGTGAAAAAGGAACTCGATCACACCTTTATGTTCAAACTAAGTTCCATAACAGTGAAGGGATTCGATAATGGAATTGACTTACATGACATTTTGCTGAAAATATTTTTTTAGATGAAATTTTCAGAATACTCCTTTTGCTCAAGTAGAGGATATTTACTTGACGCTGATGACCCTGTGCTAGCTGACAATGCAGGTAATTGAGATTCAAGTATATGTGTTGCTGGTCTTTGTTTAACACAATGGATGTGATTAATAATAACTATACATATACTGGGATACATGTTACGTTCATGTTAATGCAGCAAAATGAAAATAATTAATGTCCAGAAAGGCGAAAGGCGAATTTTAAGCCCATGATAAAACAAACATCAAATATCATACATGTTTTAAAGCCGCCCTAAAGTGATAAGTCTACTGTCCTGCTCTGAGTGAGATAGTAGGAGTACTGACTGCAATCCACCCGGGTAGAGAATATGTCTTCAGCAAGCCGTGCTTGCTGTTAAAGGCGACGACGTCAGGCTCGCTGACTTGTTTGATGCATATCATCGTATCCGAACTGCGTAGAGTGATGCTCATGATGTTAATCACTGGATTTTCTGGTCCGGGTTCGATTATGTACAGACCGACGTCATATATAGCTGGAATTTTGCGTGCGGCGTTAAACAACAAACAAATTAAACAAAAATGGCTACAAACCTACTGTGAATCCTGGCTTTTGTACCTATTTATTCAGTTGGTGTGGAATATACATGATTCTAACTACCTTTTACTTACGTTCTACTATATGACCTATATATTAAAATAGCAAGCACAAGGACTAGATAATGCCTCCTCATTAGTGACAGTCGTATAACAATGACAATCATATGAGATATAATTGTAGTTACTCACCTAACAGTAATTCGTTATCTGTATTTATCAATATCGTGTGTCTCCGTTGGGTTCAAGACACGTCCGCACACGACGTCATACAGAGCTCGTCAGACGTCGGGTTACCAGTACTTCATCCGTGTTAAGCTTCGTCAGTTTGCAGGAGGATAGGTCGTGTTCTAATCTAATGGTCAAGGTAGTCCCAGCGGTGTTCAAGTGGCGACACGTCAAGGACGCGAGCTGACAAAGGCAAAACGTTGAATTGACGTTATTGAATAGCAGATGGTGGTGTTTGTGATCTTGTGCTGCCATGTTGAACAATATCCGTGTGTTTATATTACTTGTAGGAAGGGACCCAATATCTCACGCTTCATGTAATGTTGTGCTGTGAGATTAGCATTGAACACAGCAAATTGAGACTTTTTCACACAAATCCAAGCTAAAAATCTTGCCGCTGCCACTACACTGAGCCATGAATTCTTCCCGATGAAGATACAGATGTGCTCTACCATTCTGCTCTGAAAAGCTGGAACCAGCTCTGCCCAGACACAAAATTACTTCCTGTTCTGTCATCGTTGTGCAGAGCGCACACACGTCTTTGACGTCGATTATTACGTGTCAACAATGACCACCATTAAAGTCGATAAGCCACAGTGACGCGGACGCCTGGATACCGTGAAACAGCTGATATGTCGTCGGGCAGTTCATGCTGATGACGTCACAGCCAAACGTTGATTCCTCAAATGAAACATAGGCTAACAGGGCTAGGTCATTTGGTGTAGTGACACGTGGTCGGTCTGTCCTTGGTCTGTCGGCCCTGTCTGTCATTATCGTGACAGAAAGCTGGTGATGTTTCATGAGTGCAAGCAAGATGTGTAGCGATTATGTCAAGTCTGTATTCCAACTACAGCTTACCAATTACCCTTTCTCTCGGTACTGCCAATATACATGACATACAGTATTGCTGTTGATTTCTTTACCCCTTGTGCATTGACGAATATTCTGAGTAGTTTTATACCAATATGCATCATGTTATCATACTGCGCCAGTATTCCCAATGTTAGAGAATACAGTAGGTTCACACGAAAACCAGCAGACAAAAGCAAGCTTTCAGTTGCACCCCTGTCTGTTGCATGTCCACAATAAGTTTTACATGATTATCGAAATTATTTTTGTAGTTTATCTTGCTCTTCAGTCTATTCAGAATTGCATGCTTTGACATCGCACTTGAACATTGGTAGTTCATGGATGTTTTCTATAAGTTGCGTCTAAAGGCGAAATCAACGTATGAACTGAAAGACCCAATGAATTTATCAATCCACGTAAACTTATTATGTTGTCTAACCCTTTCCTTTTGCATGAACATGAATAGTGTTTCAATATCAGCCAGGCCGTGGTGGATAAAGTGCTGTTTTTCATGCCTCAGTTTATGTTCAAACAACCCGATCATTTATTACTGTATGCTGGGAAAGTAAACCGACCGGACAACATATTAATACAGTCAGAGGCCTTTGATAAGGAAAATCTTTCAAAACTATGACATCATTTGCCCTGTCAAGGAAAATTACATAGAATTTATTAACTAAAAGCATATGCTTTCACACAAGATTATAATATACGTAATGCACCCTAGATTGGTTAATACAGTGTCCAGATAATATCAGCGTGGTGATACATACCACCATTCACCAGATAGTTATGCTGTATCAGATAACGGTACTTGAGAGATATAGGGTATCTCATTTACCATGTGATGCTGTCATGTACATATTTGCCCGTTGATCTTCGGACTGGTAGTTAAGAGACCTAGTTGTTGCTTTTCCACGTGGCTTTGGCGTGTTTTCAACACACTGATAGCACTGATGCTGGTACAAGAACAAATATTACACTCAACTGTAGCTTACTTTAATATTTAATTCATGAACAAAAATTGGTCAGAGCTTTTATTTAGCCCCTGCATGCACTGGACACCATTGTATCGTTTCGTAGTAGCCTTCACTAGTCTGCTTGGCTAACTGACTGTATTGACTGTATTGCATGGGAACAGAAGACAAAAGAGTCCCTTGTACCATATCCACTATACCATAACCATACGTTTATGAATCTCCATAAAATAGTGATGATCCTAGGTGTCCGCGAAAAGTACAGCATATCCTCCTCCACCGGGGGCATCCGTCAAATTGTTTACAAAACACAGTACAGAAACTGAACGACAACACCATCACTGACTGATCCAGTGTGTTAGCAACATCAAGATGTCCAGCATTTGGATTACCATCATTGCAGCTACATGTACATGTACACATGCATGATTGCGTAGTTTATGGTATCACTATGTGTGGCTAACCAGAAGGTTCCAGGGTACTCTTAAGTCATCGTCACAACACATGACGTCACACTGCAATGTTCTCATACATATCTGCCATTTATTCAATGCGACTCTTGCTATTGACGAATCATAATGGAATGGTTTATGCTATAAATGCAATGAGATTATTCGTTAGTATGAGAGAAGGAAAAAGCTCAATAGCATGCAAATGTGTGTCCGAGTTTGGTACGATTCTATGTATGACATTGTATATATTGTTAGATGCAATCAGCACTTTATTGATTTCTCAGTTTTTGCAACTCAAATCGAAATTATCTTTGTAGTTGTATAACAAGTAGCACTTGCCATTTCTGTATTTGATATTGCGAATATCAAACTGGTCCAGTGAATGGATGTAGAATATTTGTTTCGTTTCAAATAACATCAGAATGAATCTTCTATATCAAAGCTTTATACCATAAGCTCAGTTAATGAACAAGAAAGGGGATGAAACGTTCCTCATTTATTACGGATAAAAAACATTGTCTAATGTCTGAGAGAAGTAACCTTTTTTGAATAGTCTGTGACTGAGTGACTTGGACGAAACGCCGGTTTTAGAAAGTAAAATGTGCCGGTTGATGTCCATGTCAGGACAATGTAATGTCATAGGGGACACCAAATCACATAATGCCGCAACAACGTGTTATCACCTCTTCGCATTTTTGTTTAAGTTTTTTTACACAAACGTAATTTCGCGTCTGTCGTTAGTGCTTTTGATACATCTATGGGAAATATTAACCTCCATCAATCAGTTTTTTTGTCTCATCTTCTTTAAATAACTTGAGACGAGTCGCCAATATTTTGCAACTTGCTTTAAAAGTTGCAAAAAGTAAAATGACAATAGTTAAAGCATTATAAGTTAAAGAAACCTCGACTGATGAGAGCGATCCTTCAGATTAACAAAACATTGCATGAATTTAGCAAGGATCACAAGGAGAGTTCAGGCCTCAGCAGAGTCTTTGTATACAAACAATGCCAGTTAGTAACACAAACCCATTGGGGGATCGTTGACTAAGATATTTCAGGCAATATAATTGAATTCACTGAGACTCGGTTGTATTAAACCCAAATCAATAGAAAACAGGAAGAAAATCTTGACATAATTATAAATTAATATCATGCTGAGCAAGGTATCGTTAACATAATCTTGAGGGTCACGTCAGCACCGTATTTTTGTACCAAAATTGAGCAAAAGTTATTCTAAATTTCAAATATCTAAATCACTCAGTAGACACATAATACACATGTAACTGAAATACTGTTCCAAGCGTCTTTACACCATCCACGCCAACTACATGTACGTTATAGCGGAGGCGGTCTCTAAATAATCGAGTTTGGACCAGACAATCCAGTGACTGACATCATGAGCATCGATCCACGCAATTGGGATTCGATGACATGAATCACCCAAGTCAGCGAGCCTGATCACCCGATCCCGTTAGTGGCCTCTTACGACAAGCATAGTCGAATTTTATGGCAAGCATGGGCTGCTGAAGACTTATTCTTACCCGGATCTTCACGGGTCCTCCAGCTACGTGAAATGATTTTGTACACACATTTGTTACATTACTGTTGAACTATTGTGTGATCAGATATGACTTGTGTTCAGTGGTACCAACTGAAAAGGTTACACATACACTATTCATACAAAAGATATAGGGTATACAATATACAGAAACTCGATGAGATGTTGTTATGTAAGGTTGTGTACCCAACACATACAGTCGCCTAGTAAATGGCCTGACAATTACATTGTCATATTAATTCATATATTTGTTATATATCTAGTGAAATCTATGTTTCATTTTAGTTAAATAACACTTTATGCCGAAATTACATTTTAGTCTGCCTGCAGACTAAGGACCATAAGACTGTATAATATAACGAATAACAATTGTATCTCATGTTGTGACCCTTTGCGCAGCGCATTACTATTTTTTTTACATGTACATTACACAACAATGTAGAAATTGTAGAAACATACTTGACTCCATGTGCAAATAGATATGCTGACAATCACACACTATAGTTCACAACAAAACCAGGCTAAAGTTATCGATAATACCATTTTGTCGTGGAATTAATTGTTGACTGATCAGACGAAAGACATAAACTATGATTCACAACAGACTAATATTACAAATGCAATGCTAATCAATGATGTATTATTGAGCGCTTTGTGCTAACTTGATGATCGTAATTTCAGGAAACTGTATAACTATATGTGCATTTCCATCGCTGCTAATAGGAACATTAAGCTAAATAGTTATGAAGACCCTATTCACGTTACATTTCACATGTAGCGGTTATGCGATCAGTTCTCATTATTTCAGTCTTGTACACATGATCCACACACAGACTGTTCATCAAAGTAATTTTCATATTGATGAATTCAATGTTTTTCAAAACCGTATACTCTTACGTAGCGACTGTTTACATACAACACACTGTCATCATCCAGACAGATATTGTGGGGATAATGCATGCCATCCTTTTGTGTGAGGACATCTCTGACAAACTGCCCCGACTTTGTCAGTTGAATCACCCTGTGGGTGTCTCTGTCCACAAGAAGGATGTCTCCTGTCCTGATTGTTGTGATACCTTGCGGGTATGTTAGAGCTCTGTCTCTTGTGGGAGTGTAGGTGAAAACAGTTTTGCCTTTTCTGGTCACTGACACAATTGATCTTACTGTTACTTCACTAACTACTAACTTGTTTTCCCCAGAAACATGTATTTCATGTGGGTTCCTTGTCACACCTGTCGAGATAGATTTAAGTATATTCCCTTTCATATCCAGCACGTCAACAGAGGCACGACCATCGTAACCACCTGCCAGGAGTTTTGAAGGGTTCAGGAAGGCTAAACCACCATACTTCCTCCTTGTTCTAACAGTTGAGTGTAATGTAGGTTCTGGGTCAAAGTTGATGAAAGCTATTTGTTGTGTGTCTGGCAGAGAAACAGCTGCCCGAGCTCCACCCACCTTAGCTATTCGCAATGGCTGAGTAGGAAGCTGGAGACATGTATTGAAGGATGTTTTGCTTGGAACGTAACATGTGCTGAGTCGACAATGTAAATAATCTATCACAGTAATTACCTTGATACCATGAACTGTCAACACAACAACATCACGCAAATCATAAAACATGTCTCCAGATCTACAGTCAATTTCGTGCATGAGAACAGGAGAAGACGTCCGGTCACTTAGACCTCCAACAGTCTTGACCTCCCCCAGCTGCACCTCATCCACAGATCTCCTCAGTTTATCTGTGTCATGTGTGAAGACGATAGTGGATGGTATTGGTCTCTTGTTCTCACTTGTGTCCTTATCTCTGGATGCTACAGCAACAGTCCCATATATATCAGACATGTCTGCTACACAGCTTGCCTTCACGGCTTTGTCTGTGAACTCATACCGCTGCTGATGCATCTGGAGGTCAATTTCCTGGGACTTTCTGTAGGCATTCAATTTTTCTACACGTGTCTCAGTGAGTTGGTCGATGCGATCAAGCAGTTTCTTTTCTTTTCTCAGGAGAACGTCTACAGCTACCATACGTTCTTTCTGAACTTTGTCTTTCATCACTTGTGCGTTTATCAATAGGTTTTTAATTTCCAAGTTTTGTTGATGAAATGTTATCATTGTAAGTTTTAATCTTCTTCTCTTGGTTTCTAGTTTCATTGATCAATGTTTCTGTTACAAGAGGCATCATGGCATCTATGGTTTCAACATCATCACACTTCCTGTGTTTGATACTGCAGTATACAGTACAAATTGCCATCCTGAAATCTTTACAAAACAGTTTTATCTTCTCATCCTTGTGAATTCTGCACATAAAGCGCTGTACCTTTGGTTTCTCGGTACTATGGATGCGTAAGTCAATCACTTCATGGTCACGTAACCGTGGCATCTTCTTGTGTAACTGGAAGATATCATCACAAATGGTGCACCACATTGTACCTGGAGTTGTCTCCCCATCTTCTTTGCACATGATACAGGTATCTAAACATAAAGCACAGCACGTTACCAAAAATACAATTTCTAGAAAACACAATCACATAATACAACTTAATAATACTGTATGTTTACTGGCCATAGTTGTTAGGTGTATAAATGTCAATATAAACCAGCTCACTTCGAACTCAATCCTTCTCACTTTAATAAATATAAAAAACTGCATTTCCAATACCTTGGTGTGCAAGACATGAAAACGTTTCAAAATTCCCTACCTGACGATTCCCCCAAATCGTCCATCAGCCCCTGGATGACGTGGCTTGGTTTCAGTTGACTGACCTACTTCTCTACTTGACTGTCAGGGTTGGCCACCTTCGTCAGTTGTCGACAGGAGGGACATGGAATAGACTTGGCTTGAATTGCTTTAGGCTGTGTTTTGGTGTATTTCTGCAAACAGGACTTACAGAAAGTGTGATTACACTGAAGTGTGGCAGGGTCTGTGAACACCTCTGTACAGATGACACATGTCAGATGGTTGTCCGTCAATTTCTTTGCGGTGGCCATTTCTGATGGTGAGAAATAGTCCGACTTAGCTATGTCTTCAGTACGAGTTTATGAAAATATATTTCATTGTGCTAAGTATCTCCAATGATCTATTCTTGCAGTGATCATAATAAAACACATACACACAAACACACACATGCATGCATAATTACACACACACACGGGTACATACTCACATACACACACACGTACATACATACATACATACATACATACATACATACATACATACATACATACATACATACAAACATACATACATACATACATACATACATACATACATACATACATACATACATACATACATACACAAACAGATACACACATATACACACATATACAATCTTATGCATGTGCACACAGGCACACACACACTCATACATATATATATATATATAGATATAGATATAGATATAGATAGATATAGATATAGATACAGACACACATACACACACACACACCATTTTCATTCCATGTTCAGCTACTGGTCCTGTGTCCAGTACAATGGTATACTGATAAAGGGACATAACTCTAATATTCATATACATGTTTGCGACGCTTGTATAAACGCTGCCACCACTGCTTAAATGTGTTCACACTTGGATTCTAGATCTCACAAACACGTGCTATATATGGTTCCGTCGTTTTGAATGGAGACATAACAGTACATTCAACATCTGTTAACATGTTACACTTATTTCACCCTGCAAGTCAGGACTCGAGGAATTTTCAAGCCACTTTCGTTATTGAACTTCAATTTACCTTGATGTCGACTATATTTCAAATATATGGGTGGTTTTAACAGGAGCCTGTGTGCAATGAATCCGAAAGCAACATATTCCAGTTACATTTTAACAGACATCTATTGTGTTATCTTCAAAGATACCGCAGCGTCGACGAGCACCCGGGGTAGACTGCGTTTCACTTCCTGGTTGTTGCCTCAGCTTGCACTGATGATCACGTGACATGTTCAAACCATCGGGGGGAATGTATGTGATCACGTGACACGCGAATCTCGTACACTGTGACACAGTTTCTCAGATCTATGGTGAGCAGTCAGCAGATATAACATGTTATGAGAGTTTATTGTGACGAAACATTATTGGAATAACAACGTCATATGTGAAGTACTGTGCGCCATGTTCAAATACTATAATATATAAAATACACAGTACACAGTACAATAAATCATGAATCATTCAAATTATATTTGTAATGAATCATTTTATAAATATATTCGTTTTATGTTGAAATAAACAGAATAAACAAGCTGTTGCGTTGTTCTTAGCAGAGAAAATGTCAATTCTAACAACAAGAAAACTGTAGAAATTATACCTTCACATATTGCTCCAAGTCAGAAGACATTTGTCATTTTGCACATGGGATCACAAATACAAACAAGGTTTTCGCAATGATCTGGTATAATAGAGGCATAAACTCCAACCTGCCACTCTGTCGGCAAGTGTATTAACCTAATTAGCAGCAAGGTAAACTTAGTCTTGTTCGCAGATAGTGCACTTTCACATGTTCTCGTCTTTTCTGAGAGCTTCTTGTCCAAACATGGGGTCATGCGCTTTTCTGGTCTCTTTCTTCACAAGTCAACGAGACTGTCAAAATTCACTACTGTCTCCCTCTCCCCCAAATTCTGTATAAGACCCCTGAACTTCTGATATTGACTGGGAGGGTAGTTTTCCAACTATTCTGTTAATATTCTCAGAGAAGTACTCTGACATAAGGTACACTTTGTATAGCATTCCGACATTCAAACAGGAAAACTGAGAAATCATCCAGTGCCAACTCACACTGAAACATATTTCTTTATTGTAACCTTTCAATTGCATAAATACTTCAGTTGTGATTGGCCAGTCACTGTGTTTCTTTTGTTCGTCATTTTATATATGTAGTGGTTCCCGGGTTCGATTCCCCACATTGGTACACTGTGTTTAGTCCATTTCTGTTGTCCCCAGCCGTGACATTGCTGGAATATTGCTAAAAACGGCGTTAAACAACACTCACTCTTTGATAACAGAGATACATTAAATGGAAGGGAACAATGAACTGTTCTTGAAAACCACTTAATTCCCCATTATATACCGTTTTGTTAATTAAATCTGGCCAAGAATCAGCATTCAATATGTTGAATATCATTTAACAAACATGTCTTTCTAATTTAGATTACTATCACCCAGTTGTGTTCTGTAACCATGCCAACGGTTTCTACCTAGTATTACGCCTTACCTTTACCTTATGTAAACGGATGCAAATTACAAATACATAACTGTTCAATATAATAAAGATGCATTGTTACACGAAATCAGTTTTATCGGGACCATGTGGATAATGGCCATGGAGGTTATGACATTTTCTGTTACAATACGCAAACAAGTATTCAAGGTTAATTCCCACATGATACCAAAAGAATCAAAGCCAATTATTTGATTCCAGAATGACAAGGAACAAATAAATTCAGCGATCAAGGTAAACGTCCATTATACTCCTTCAGCACATAGTTTCTCCCCACACAACATACATGTGCATGTATCCGACATGAATGAAGACGCTACACCTTAAGCTTCGACGTCTGTTACATATCAAAGTAGTGTGTAGAAATAGACATAGCGTTTAGGCATCATTTGTAAACACTTCATTAACCCTTTGCAAATAAAAGCGACAAAACCAATTCATAATCATAATGATCAGTCCACTGTTCGGAAACACTTTCGACCGCCTCCGTGGTCTAGTGGCCAGTGTCCGCCCGGAGAGAGGTAGGGATACGACCTCCGGATGTGTCACACTAAAAGACGTCAAAAGATGGTACTTCTTGTTGTCCTGCCTGGCGCTCTGCATTGAGAGGCTACAATAAGGAATGGTCTGCTCAGAGTCAGTATACTGTGTCTGAGTGGGGTATTCATGTTAAACTATAAACAGGGCCTGAATTCAGACTAGTACAAGCACACACAGAGAGAGACACAGAGATGGAGAGAGGGGGGGGGGGGGGGGGGGGGGGGAGAGAGAGAGAGAGAGAGAGTTGCATGCAAGTCGAAATATAAGTGATATAATCTTGAACTCGACGTTGAACCCCATTTCACCTGACCACAACTCATAAACACTTTCACACTGAATGACACCGACACCGACATATCAGCTGTTAATGCACGGACGTTGAATCAATACTGACTAGACAAACACAGTGCCGTTATGGTTACATCATGAATGTGTGTGTGTCGCGTAAAAGAAGGAAGACAGCTTCGAATTATAGAACAAAGAAACTACGCTGTTATATGGAATAATCAGTTTTAAACTCAACCATATTTCTCAAGTCAACACCAACACATTTACTAGTTCTTCCATAGTTACGTCCCTTATGCAGACCACATCCCGAATCCCGGTTCGCCCAGATTTCTTGTTGTCTTGGTTTGTCAGTACGATATCTGTGCTCCAGTCTCATTTCATGCTTTCCTCACTGCGGCATGGTATTTCAATGAGCTAGCACTAAAAATCGGCATAAGTCCGGACTTGTACAAGTACATTTCCACACACACACACACACACACATTTCCACACACACACACACACACATTTCCACACACACACACACACACACACACACACACACACACACACACACACACACACACACACACACACACACACACACACACACACACACACACACACACACACACACACACACACACACACACATGCACGTCGCTATATCAGTGCAATAATCTTGGACGCGACGCTAAACCCAATTTTACCTCACCTCGTGCTCTTCTCCCACATCAACCTGACTCACCATGATATAACTGACATAATGTTCAAAGAGGCGTTAAAATAAATTCACTCACTAACTCTGTTGCTCAACAGAACACTACTGATGACAGATAATGGATGCATTTGAAGGTGCTTATTGCATTTTTTATTGAATTGATTTTCATATTTCGTCCAATGACCACCACAAACGACGTCTTCCTGTTTGCAGTGGTAGTCAGTAACCACAAGGGAATTGATCAAGTGTTACATGAGTAAACTAAACACATGAAAAGGACAAATACGTGCATGTTGTTAATCAAATGCAGAAATATATCTTTCTGAGTCCACCTAAATAAACACAGGCGTCGCAATAAATTTATAAACTTATATCTCAGACAGTTTAAATAACAAGGAAAGACAGGATTGAAAAGACTCATTCAACATTTAAAATTACTTGTAAATGGTTTGTTCATTTACAAGTAGTTCCATCATACTCACATGTCTCTAAATTGATTGATTAATTGTCATTAATACCGAAAGTTACAAATGCAAACAACAAAGTTCATGTATTCCAAGTCATGGCCATATCATTCGAAATTCATGTAAATGTTGATAAATTTATATTTGAACTATAAGCACTGGCATTAAAGGTAATTTCTAACAACTTATAGTGGGTGCGATACATGCAGAAGCCATCTGAACTGAGGAGCAATATAAACCTAGTATATACTTCTACATGTTTTTTGGTGTTAGATATAATTTGATGGAAAACTTTTAAAATAAAATAAAAAATAAAAAAATTAAAAATCGCATAATACACAAGAGGTTATGAGCATCTCGGACATCTCATCTTTGAAAAACAATAAACTTGTTTACAACATTTCAAACATGGTAGGGGCCATGTGGTTGCAAATTCATTTCTTGCGTCAGTCTTCACTGAATTTGTTTACACACATTTACCCAGACACAGATGGCGTTTCACACACTTTTGCAGGAATGAGTGATGGTTAAATAGAAATTATCAAAATTAACAACTGTTCTTTACATTTTCAATTACAAAAAAAACCCCGATCGGTATACCTTCTTTTGTCCCTTTGATTATTATTCATCCCAGCTAAGCGTACACCAAAGTATACCGCGTTGACGCTTTTTACTCTCAATTCTTCAAAATAACATATCATTACAACCATTTCATCACTTTCAAGTGTGATTTTGTCTTCCAAATGCGAACCTCTGGACAGATTGAATAACTATCGCAGGCAATATAGCAACGTACATGC